AGTACGAGACTTCGCTTTTGTTCACGTCTATATTGGTGATCTGCTAATCGCAATATCAAACGTAGATGAACATTATCAACACCTTACACTCTTATTCCAACGCGTTTCGAAAAATCGAATAGTGGTTGACCCAGGCAAGAATGAACTGGGCAATGCGGAAATAAATTTCTTGAGCCACTTCATGAGGCATGGGGGGATTCCACCTTGTTAAGACAAAGTACGTACAATCATGGAGTGCACTGTACCATCCTCACTCAAGGAACTGAAGGCTTTTCTCGGTTTGGTCAACTTCCACTGACGTTTCATTCCTCGATCCGCAGAACAGTTACGACCATTAACCGACTGACTTCGCGGTAATTCACGTGAACTAGAACTGAACCATGCCGGGTATTCTGCGTTTTCTGAGATCAAAAAAGATTAGCTTAAGCCACGCTCCTCGCCCATACTGACCCGTCATCCACGCTTAGTATGGCGGTTGATACATCAGATTTTGCCATAGGAAGCGTTATGCAACAGGACATTTCTGGAAGTTGGAAACCTTTCGAGTTTTTCTCACGACTCCTAACTCCTACTGAGACGAGATACAGCGCCTTTGGTCGCGAGCTGTTAGCAGCCTGCTGTGCCATCAAACGCAATAGAAGGTCGTGACTTTATCCTCTGCATCGATCATAAGCCTCTAGTGTATGCTCTGCATACCAAGTTTGACAGCTACTCACTACGAGAGTCCAGACATTTGGACTATATATCTCAGTTCACGACAGACCTTCGTCACACTGAAGGCGAGTCGAACTATGTTGCCGATGCTCTGTCACGTATTCAAGTGAATGCAGTTACTTTACCAGTGCTTGATCTTGCTGCTACGCTCTCTTCCCAAGCTAATGGTCCCTCCTGTACAGAAGGAAAACAATCTACATTCCTTCAGTGCCACGAAGTACCACCAGCTTAGGTACTATCCTGTGTGTTAACTCTACTTGTTTACCCCGACCCATTGTACCTTCTGCTCATCGTGGTCTCGTCTTCGATGCCCTTCATGGTTTGTCTCATCCAGGTACCGCAGCCACATTACGTCTCATCGATGCACGATACGTCTGACCTTCCATGGACAAAGATGTCAAGCAATGCTTCCAATGTCAACGATTAAAAGTGCGCAGGCACGTAACCCCCCCTATCGACACATTCGCTGAGCCTGATGCTCGCTTCCATTACGTTCATATTGACATTGTAGGACCATTGCCACCACTGCACGGGTATGATCACATACTCTCGAGCATCGATCGTTTCACAAGATGGCTCGAAGCTATTCTCATCACTTCTATTACGGCGGAAACAGTTGCTAACCGCTCACGGTTGTCTCATGACTGTCACAACTGACCGAGGAAGACAGTTCGAGTCCGAACTATTCTCCTCGCTAACCCGGCTGCTTGGTACGGAGCGCATACGCACTACCGCCTACCACCCAGCTTCAAATGGTTCAGTTGAACGGTTTCATCGCCAACTTAAAAGTGCTCTTCGAGCAAACGAAAACAACAATTGGTACGAAACCTTACCGCTCGTCCTCGTAGGTATCAGAACGAGTTTAAAGGCAGATATTCAATATTCCGCCGCTGAAGTGGTATACGGTATGAAAGTGAGTCTGCCTGGGGGATTTTTTAGTGATAACTCCAATAAATCAGACTACGTTCAACCAGATAAATCGGGATTCAATGCTTGACTCGTCCAACTCATGTTCCAGTCAACAGCACTCGTTATCTGCACTATCTACGGATGAGACTCCGTTTTCACGTCCAGATCAGTAGACCACGACGCCCTTGACTTCGAATGAGACTGCAGTCTCGCCAGGTTCACATATGGCCACGATCTCGCGTTCCGGTCGCCGCGTACGCCTACCTCTAAGCTTTCGCGACTAACCATCCAATCAACAACGGATACAGTATAGGATTTCATCCTCATACTGCATGCAGGCTACACCTTTCTCTTTTTCTTTTATTTTTCTCCTGAACACATTTCTTCGACCATCGCCCTGTTGTTACGGTCGACTTCAGTCAATCTTGGCGAGAGCTGGACTGTTAACTCACGTTCTTGTCAAGGCACTTGGTCGAATGTTTGGTTCCGAACATATCTGGCATTCGTATGGTTTTGAACTTGGTAGTTCTTGTCGTTTCTGGTTCCGTCTGCAGCTTTTTCTGGTCCGGACCCATACGAACGCAATCCTTAGACTCTGGGTACGAGCCACGCTGGCGTGGCATGCCTACCCGAGCACTGAACTTGGCACGTTACTAATTGTACAGTTCAACGTAAAGGACAGTCGAAGACGACTCCAGCTTCATTGGTCGCTTCCAGTCCGTCAACCCTTCCACCCTACTATCGCACGTCGGTCGACCAGCCCTCTGTGTGGAGCCTCTACGTATAAAATATCTGTACCATTTCTAGGCGGGGCCTGCCGTAATGGAACACTTATACGAAGAAAACATTAACTATTGTACTCGTTTTGTGTAACTGTACCAAAAACACTTACTTGCGCGTAATGTTCTTTTTCGCGTTGCTGCCATCTTTCGTAAATTGCTGTTCAATATGACACCTACATTCTCTTTGAAATAGATACTGAACCCTGGATTTATATCTTCAATTTGTGACGGGATAGTAAAAAATGTATAGTGTCGATCACAGTCAATCTCGACTCGGTCACCACTCAACTTTATTCAAGGTTAATGTACGACAAATAGGAGAATCAGTATCTGTTTTCCCTCCAATAGTACGATGTTTTTGTCATGAACTGGTACAAAACGAGTGATTTGCTTACGCTTACTTTCCATAATTTTAGTAAAGTTTCAGGCACTTAGTAGTATCGAGGAGGTAATTAGTAATAAGTAATAATAATTTATTCTCAGATAACAACATTTATTGTCTGACCAATATCAACTAGAAGATCCTTGCACACTTACCTAATCAATTCTCGTTATATACAGACCTGGATCTACCTTGCATTTGTTCTCAACCATTAGTGCTTCGGCGTAACGTGACCGTCAAAACTCGTGCCAACAGTCATATTGTACAACGTAGAGTCTGAAACATTGTCGATGATCTTATGAGGAAAATTTTAACCATCTATATGAAGCTAATGTCTCGTATGAAACATTTACGTAACTAAGCAACCTTTGACGGAAAATATGTTAGCAATTTCACCATTTTGAGCTTGCCTGTAAATTGACATGCCTTTTGTAACATGTTGTTATTTGAGAATAAATTATTTTTATTATCAGTTACGTGTAGAAAACGAATGCCTTCATATTTTCCAAAACCATCATCAAGCAACATCAACCCATGGTGTGCCTAACCAGAGCATCTATTTATTCTGACTGATTATTGGCGGTAATGCGATAACTCACCTGATATAAAAGTCTTTAGTGTTGACAACAACCCAGTTTGTAAGTGAAAAGCGAGAATATACTCTATAGGAATCCAGTGAATCTCGTGAAATATTTCAGTAACTGTATACCGTTTTAAAAGAAATATGTTGCTAATCTTAACATTTTGATCTTGCCTGTAAATTGGCATGTCTCTTGTAACATGTTTGTTATTTGAGAATAAATTATTATTATTAATATTACTATGTTAGTTCTGATAAAATTATTATAAATATGTTTCCAGTATGCGAGGCAACGATTATCTCATCGATCTTAGGAAGCCGATTCAATTCTGAGACTTTGATTTCAGCATTTTTCAAATCGTTTTATTTTTTATAATAATTTCTGGTCAGAGGACGCCAGTGGTGTCGGGGACTACAAACTGGGTTATAAAAGGCAATTGTAAAGGCTTCACGTTGAATATTCAGCAGGGTCAAATGAGAACTAAACACCACTACAATTATCCACCTGAGCTACAAATTTTCACCACTATCTCCCTCTAGCGTCATATTGATAGTAATTTTTTAATAACGTTCTACGCTTATGCACGTTTGTGACTGAGATGTCTACATTGTCTATGTCCATCCACATTACCATGGCATTCTTCCAGAATGAGCATCTTTTGTGAGTAACTCTATGTTTCCTGTTCATATTTAAATATTTTTATGAGCAGTGGAGCGATTCTTCAATTTATTTATATACTAGAATAGACACTTTCTAAAAATTTCAACTTTAGGCTGGCTCAAGTTTTTGGTGGCTAAGCGCTTTATATCCAGATAGATTGGAAATCATGCTTCGACAAATACGTTTCTGGACACCTTATTCGCGAAACTATATCTATATATACTTTTATCCTGTTATTAGCCTCAACTATATGACATTTACGACTGATATACCGTCATATATAGTGAGAAGCTAGGTGTGGAGTTGGTATGACAAACTTACTTTGTAAATAGTTTTTGATGATATTTGTCTTTATTCTGTTAATAATCCCAGCGGTATAACTTTCCGTAGAATAGCATATACATATGACTGCAGTATATAAATGTAGACAATATACCAATTCCACATAGGTACTACAGAGACAAGATAGTATACTAAGATATCTGTAGACTACTTCCTAAGTTGCGGGCGAGCATGATTTGTTGTTTATTGTGATAATGATGAAGTTAACGAGATAAGTTTGGAACTAATAACCACAGAGGATAATACACAAGTGTAAACTAAACTGAAGATATAGGCATTTTCGCGTTACAATGCATGGTGATTTGCCAGCGGTTTCGTAAAACCATGAACCTGGAGGGAACGCACTGTCTCAGATACAAAATATCGCAAACTTACTTGAATAAATAAAGATCAATGGCTAAAATACCGGGCCATTAAAAGTCACCGAAAACGTTAGATCGTACTCATAAAACAAGAAGTGAGCTCACACAAATCACCTGATGTACACTGGTTGATCCTTAATATATTGGATGCATTGGACTTGTAGACCTTGAGTCACTTGATTTGTTCCTCAAGGTCACTTGGCCGTCAAGGTTGTTTTCCCTCAGAAATATGTAGTCTGGTTTGCTGATACCTCGATATTTGTACATAATGCAACCGTTTGTTCATGTGCCCCCAGAAAGGTCCAGGTAAACTTACGTCCTAGTAACCCTTATTTACCCAGTGAGCCGAATCTTGTTACCAGTGTTATAGGTGCTTTAAGTGATTACATGCCCAGGAATCAGTATCGTACATGTGGCTCTACAGAACAGGTGCTTTGCGTGAAATTTGAGGAGTGCGATACAAGCAGTAAGTCTGTTATATCTTCTTAGCCAAGATTTTTAGGATGTAGCTTAACCTACTCCACCATTCTGTCTCTAGTCACTTGTAAAGGATCATATATATGGGGGGTTTCGGTAATTCGCTTCTTCAAACTAACATTTTAGTTTGGTGGTAATGCAACTCTACTGTATTCAGAACGTAATACACGCACAGTAGACCTAAAGCTGCTTCCCACTCCATCACGTAAGTGTTGTTATTGTTAGTCTTCTATTTAAGGTCCTGATGATTCATTGTTTTCCAGCAGGCCTCTTATGGCTATCTGTGATACTTTCAGGTAAAAAAATGAGTTTTTAGTTCAATGTGGTCCTAGTTGTGCATCTTGTCAGTGGCAGGTGCAGTTTATATCTTTGTGCAATCGCAAGGTGGTTTTATCGTATTCCTTAGAGTCTAAAGCACTTTCAGTCGACGCAAATGACAGGTAAAATCATATAACTTGATGCATCAGCCATTAGATTTGTTGTAGTGACACGGATTGATTCAATCACAGTATTCTCAGCATTAACTCTCACAGAGCTCTACACAATTGCATGTAGGTTCTTTGCTTTCACAAACATTTTAAAGATGTTAAATCGACACTTTGGCCGAATCTTTTGCCGAAAAGTGTGCCGTCCTCGCTTGGGATTCGTTGGCTGGCCTTTGCAGATTCTAAGGTTGGTACAATCTCAATATATATTTACCTCGCCTTGACGTAAGACGTGGTTAGTTTATACGCACTATACCGATGGTTTTATTGGTGCCTATATATTTTCGTTGGCTGAAAATACGGTGGTACGACTGGCGAACATTCAATTCCCTATCTGTTCCCTCATAGTGTTTTGTATTTCTTATTTAAACGTAAATGTTGGTGCAGAGGAGTACCTGAGTACTTATGTGCCACACAAATCATTTAGATTGTGAGTGGTCTGGGATACTACCTGAATGCCCAAATCGAGACAGTTTGTTTTCTTAGGGGTCACCTTCTGAATTCCTAATCCAGGAGTTTGGTCCACTAGGCAGTGAAGCAACGTTCAGGAGATGCAGTCTCCTGATAGCCGGTGACCAACAATAGGTACACATACCCTTTGTTCCCTCAGGGTCATGGGGTCTATGAGCACTATTGGCTTGGAAGTATTTGAAACGTGATAATTTCAAACTTTCACCATTTTTAAAACATAACATTATCTGATTTATTAATGCATGCCGCATGTCGGCGTTTGTAAAATAACCTAATAACTATGGATATATAACTGTAGAGCCTGCTGACGAAGTTGTGGAAAACGATTATTCTCTGAAATATTCTTCGTTAATTTCTTCAAGTTGATTATAGAGCGGATCATTACCTAACTGTTCAATTAGTAAATAATAGGATAGAATGGATATATTAAGCCGGTTTTATCGTTAGCAGGAAACAAGTGTCTATTATAAATAACAGGAAACACTAGACTTGGTTCGAAAGTACTTGTCAGTGTGACTTGATATCAAAGGATCCAGTTGATTTGTAACTTAGTGGTTGTTTTAAATGAGAGTACCTTCCAACAACGGGAAGTTAATCAACTGATCGTATTTATGTTTTGAAGACGTACTTCAAAGAATCCTGAATATTGTAGTATTGTAAAACTAGACTGAAAAAGGTTATCACGGGCTAGTTTCAAGGATAATTGAGACACTGTTGTTAAATAATCAGATGATGTGTTTTTAAAGTCATGTTAATACAGTTTCGAAAACATTTATTTATTCACTTAAACACATTTATTTCTATCTTTCAACGGTTTGTGTTTATTTAAAAAAACTTAAATAATTTGTGTTTTAAGCAAGTATTAAATTTAAGCATACTTCATTATCTAGTCAGATCCTTCAGCATCTAATGCGTTGTATTCTTTGTATGGCCTTTTCCTTACATCCATCCCTAACAGCAGTGTAAAGTAGTAGAGAATAACTTACCAAAAATACTTCTACTGCTTCTACTAAATGCATGTAGAACTCCACTTCTCGATAAATATTAAAAACTCACGCTCCACAATTGTAGAAGGATCTCTTAATAATTTTTTATTACATGTTAATATTTAGCCTGTTTACCAACACTTATCCCGATGTGGTGACGCAAGCACAGACGAGTCACAACCTTTAACTACAACAGTATTGAGTATGAACAAGGTAAGGGATCTTTTAAATTGATCATAATCGTTTGGTATTTTAAAAGATTTCTTATTTCTGGTTTTTACATCTACCTTATTACAATACATAGAGTTTCAGAGGCTAATAGATTCATTGGAAGAGATAAATCAATGACATATGCAATGTTTCAACAATGTAAAGGAGGTGGAGGAATCGCTGTGATGAACATTAAATCAATTAGCTCCCTTTTATTTCCGTTAATTCATTAACAATAATCCAAATAGAATACTATTTTTAAATATTGTACAGAGGTTATATTAAGTCGTTTTTGAGTTAATTATTGATACTATGTTGATCAAAACATAAACCTTAAAAAAGTCGTAACATCATAATACTAACACAGCTTTTTGCACTAAAAGACAAAATTGTTCTCAACTTTGTGGGTAGAGTTCTAAAGCATACATTCATATCACTTAATCGAAAAAAATCCATTAGCGTGCTTTACAAGTTCATAAAACATGCTACTGAAACAGATCTGTTTGGTGGAAAGTAAAGTTACAAATGTCGTTGAAATGTCCTGATTTCATTTTATTGTTATTTCATACTGTACTATTCGATGAACAAGTCATCTAAAATATGAGAAATTCATTGTTTTCAAATTTATTTATGGTAATGTGACTCAGCCAAGTACATAAATCCGTACTTTCTAATTAGTAAGCAATGTTGTGAAAGCAAAATATAGACAACTCAGAAGCACTGTTAAATTACTTTATCTAGTTGACTTGTATTATATCACCTTTCCAGTCACATGATAGCTGGACGAGAGAGTCCTTTATGTAAATATTACAATTTCATTTGCAACAGTGCTTGGTAATATATGGAAATGAAATCCTATCAGATATTGATTTTATCTCATTTGGAACTTTAGAAAACTGTCAAATTATTTTAACAACATATATTTCTTCAGGTTTACGTGTTTTATTATGACAGTCATTGTAGAATTATTTTTTTTCTTTACGTTCAATGTTGCGGAAATCTGTTTTTTTTGTGTGCAAAAAAATGTGTTATGATAGATTAGATAATGCACACACTATATACTCCTCAGATACTAGATGATAGGACTTAGGATTTATCGTGTAAGTTAGTAATTGCATCAGATAAACAAACCATATTAATGTCTTATTAAGTGATTTTTATGTGTTAAAAGTCGATCAATTGTTTGTATTAGTTAGATGTCTTCAAAAACAAAGTAATTTAACCCATTCATTGTTATCATATAGTTTTGTCTATGAATCTATTCTATTGTGGTAGCTGCATTTCAATTACGTCACGAATAAGTGTGCATCCGGTCATTATTTTAATGATTCTCCAAATGTACCGTTAACATCATGAATGTAAATAAGGCATTGATTTCATATCAAACTCATTGTTTATTTGGATGTGAACAAAAATAATGCGAGCTAATCAATTAATCCAGCCGCACTTTAGTGTACATAAGAAAATCCTTTCAAGATATATTCAATGTCATAAACTATTGTAACATTGAGTTTCTAATTTGACTTAAGCAAAAATATATCTTGTCTTTTTTTATTAAGAGTATTACAGCTAGTAACGTTCTTTAAAAAAAATCAGCTGACCATAGTAACGTTATACTTTGTTATATATCCAGTTCACTAGCTGCTGATAGTTTCATGTATTGATCAGAAGTAGTAGGCGAATCCAACACTGTAAATTTCGAAACTGTAGTGGATTCCTTCAGATAAGTAGTATTATGTCGTAATCAGTAAATGCATGAATTGTATGATATTGACTTTAACATTTTTGTTAATTTTAGTGTTAACATTGACTAAATATAAAATTTTCATGATGCCTTAAATATTCTCATAGCGTCTGTGGGATGGTATTTCGGCTTTGGCCACCTCAGTTGTTTCCAATTCATTGGGTCCGAATTCATCATGTTTACGAGATAACCATCTTGATTCACCATATCAAGTTTCACAGACAGCTTTATCAGATTCATTTCCCCAGCATGGATCTAGTCTAATTACTTCAGAGGCGAATAACTCATATACCAATATTTCACCCGGTTATGTAACAATAGTTGATTTACATGTGTTAAATTGTCAGTATGAAACTTGGAGAAAACTTGAAAAAGATACAGCGTCAGTTCGTTTATGTTCTGTTAGTTCTAATCCTCCTGATTCATCAAATCAACATAGTGGTACGCATCAAACATCTCGGTCATACTCTCCAAATAATGAACACACAAATATTAAAATATCAGGAGTGAAATACTTGAATGTTCATGAATTCGGTGGGTCAGGAGCTATTGTTGCCCATTTCATGGTAGGTATTTTCTAAACGTGTTATTACATATATCTCAATTGATTGTCATTTTATTTCATCAGTTTACACCATTAATACTAGTATGATAATTCCTAATTATGAAATTGCCATTATGTGAATCAGTCGATCGGAAATAAGTTTGTATAGGTAATGTAGTGGTTTCCTCTCTCACTTATACTTATTATTCATCCAAACATGCAGCCATTTTTTTATCTGTAATTGCAACTACATGATAATTTTTATCAGTGAAAATTAGTATAGTTATCTTTTAGACCACTATTTGACAACAGGCTGAAAACGTTTTTGCCTAGATTAAGATTAAGATTACTGAATATTTAGAAGCGTAATTAATGTGTGGACTTGTTTTTAGTTACGGCAATGCCATTACTGCACAATTCTTATATTTGTGTTCATCATCCAGCTATATACATTCACAGAATCTAGTATTTTTATTGGGGTTGCACTGATTCTGTTTATTGACACGTATGGGGACAGATTTAGAGACCATGTTCTGTTTTTCTATCAAGATTATTCCAAATTTCGTTTCCCTCATACAATCATGCAAATGAAATACTTACAAAACCTTCATTTTACATACGGTTATTTCTCAGTCAGTCAGTCAGTTACGACGTACGTACATCAGTTCAAGTTGCCAAACTAAATTAGCACAGAGACGCAATTGTCAATTTAAATCCCATAGTAGTAGAGGTAGTAAAAGTACTAGGAGTAATGCAGAAGATTGCTGTTCGAAGATATTACTCAAGAAGTATAATTCAGTGAGGTAACTTTGGAAAGAGAAAGATATAGATCAGCAATTCAGAAAATTAGAATTTCATAGAAAACAAAGAATGGATTCACCTGCGCCATTGTAAACGATTTTGAGTCATGTCATTCAAAGTCTAATCATCGATTACTATCATCTCGCGAACCCCAAGCAAGTACTCTACACTTATCAACATGACTCAGTTCACTTTTCAGTGACTTCGTGGATTTGTGCCCTTCTGGATTTCTCCTAGCCTAGTTCTACGCCTCAAAATATAGCTCCACGAGGCAGTCGGCGGTTGGGCATTCGTAACCACCCCAACTGATGAACATTCAATACTTCATCTATTGATCTGCGGGACAAAGCAAACTGCTGCGCAGTAAACTCGTCCTTTGGTTAGCAGACAGATATCCCGCCTACACCATAAATGACGCAGGTTGGCAAAAGCCAATCTAGCCTTCTATTTCTGTTTCTACTTTACCCTTGAACATCGCAATGATGGCATGCGAAACATTTCATGACAAAGCCATGTATAACACTATATTCTCCATTCATTTACACATCTATTTAATCATAAAAGTGAGATAGTGGCATAATGATTACATCATTCCAATCTTGAATGGTCGTAGGTTCGAACCCCACTCTACCTGATTTGGTTTGGGCGACTGGGTGGTATTACCAGCCTTTACTCAAAAAGCATAACTGAAAGCTGAGTACATGAATCTGTAGGATTGCGACAAGAAAAGGTTCAAGGTGGTTTTGCAAAAACGAAATTTATTTAAATTTAGATTGTTGTAACGCTTGCTTGAATAATTTCCAGCTAATTCCTATTGCTTAATATTCTCTGACCACAATACACTGGACAAGTTCCAAAGAATCAAAAACACGTTTGAACAGGAAAAGATTATATCCCAAATAACAATGTTAAATGGAAATAGGAAGCCGAAGGCGAAAATAGATACAACGTTAGTTATTTATAGCATTAACATGAGAAGCTTCTGGATAGAAATTCACGTGATCGACTGGATTAGAATTAGCCAATCAGAGTGCAGCTAACAATACGAGAATTTTCTATCCTGTTCTCCAAGAATCGATCAGGCGCTGATTGGATAGGAAATCAGCCAATCAGCGCGCAGCTGACGCAGTCATGCTTTAATTCCATCTATGTCCCACTAACATTAATATTAGTCAGAGTTATTGATCATGATGACCGTTTGCTTCTGGTCATTTTGATCATGAATTTAATCTTCAGAAAGAAATTGTAAGATCAATCATCTTGTCGCCTATATTTTTATTACCACCTCAAATATTTCAATATTCTGAAGTTTGTTCTGTCGAATATTTATTAAGTTGTTCTTCTGAACTATTTGTATACATATGCCAGAATAATATTAAATAAGTTGTAGCATTTCTTCATGTGATGTCCAAACTTTCTTGCAATGCGTCTTTTTAAAGCAACTCTATGGTTGTGGACATTATACCTTAAGCTTACTCTTAAACTAACATGCTTTATAGTCTTATGTTCAATGAGTTTTTTCAACCGCATTCTACTATGACAACCGGGCTGTGTGAGAGTTCATCTTCTATTCTAAAATATTACTAAAAATCTTTTTATTTGGTGCTCTATTTCTGTATGGTGGGAGTCTTCTAGTGGATTAAATCGTTGATCCCAGAATTAATATACACGGCAGCAGGATATTGGTAACTTCACCAGACTATTATTAAGCCTGCACAAACGATACTAGGTTTTGTGTTTCGTAGTTTTGAAGCTTTAAGGTGTGATATATAAGTTGTTAAGAGGCTTCTCTCCCGTTCATAGAGGTTTTAAGTTCGAACCTTGATCCATCTACTTCATTTAAGAGGTTGAATATCACTAGCTCTCAATTTATAGGAAGGTAGTTTGAAGCTAACTGCACAAATCGTTACTAGGTAAATAATTTAGATCAATGTTTTTTAGGTGAGAAAGTTATTATTTTACTTCATGGTTAATTCTTTTTACACTGAACAAATTTTCAACACAAATGGATTTGGGCTTCAGTAACTTTCTATGTTGCTAGTTGCTGGTGTTTTTTGGTTTAATTTTTAGTCCTAATAAACTTGGTTAAACATTTCTCAGTTTTAATATTTTCGTCTTGATTTACCGAGACGAACTATTGTTTCAAGCTCGTAATCTTGAGGGAATCGATACTTATGGTTTTGGAACCTAATCGATAGAACTAATACAGCAATAAGCATTAGACTAACTTAAGATTTGTTGTCACTCAGTAATTATTCAATGTATATAATATTTCTCATCTTTGATGCTCTTTTAAATTTCTGTTTCTAACTGTTGTTGATTTCAGGCTCATCGTTGGGCTGATGTTGCTCTCTTAAAGTTTGATCCATCTGGAAGTTTGTTGTTCACTGCATGTAAGCGAGGTCATTCATTCAATTTATTTCGTATTGCTAATCATCCGTTTGACCAGCGTCAGACTGCTGTACATCATTTATACATTTTGGAACGTGGTAATTTACCATGTGAGGTAATTTGTTTCTATCATTATACATTTAGTAATCTCTATCATGATTTAGGATGTTCTAAATACTGGCTGTAAACTATACTCTCCTCATTTTAGTGATAAAACGACTACGGAAACTAACTCTTGTTTTACACAACATTATGATATACGTGCCACAAAATCGTAATCTATACTTGGTTTTGATGGGTTTTTAATCCAAAACCAAGTTAAGATTTTTTCATTCACAGTTAAATGACCTCAAACTTATGATCAATCCTGACAACATATGATCGGAGAGTTCAACAAAGTTGGCTTAAGTTTTCTAATTTCTGCTTATAAAATGATGTAATTTATGAAATAATTACAAGTAGTTTGTTTGAAGAAAACAATAAGGCATTGAATAGCTTGTGCATAATTTGCGCGAGAGATTTATTATCACATCTAAGATGACTGGTAAAAAATCAATATTAAGGAAGTCTAATATAGATGTCATTTCAAGATGGAATTTAATTGGTTGGATGGTGCATTTCAAAACATGATTTCGACACTTATGCAGCAAGAAAACCTCACGTATCATTCAGCAGATACTTTTTCAGTGGTTGCTTCAATAGATTTTTGACTTAAAAACTATCCGTTATCTCAATGGCATTTTAGAAATTGTTGTACTCACTTCAAAACAATTATCATCAATTCTTGTTTCTACTGCTGTCCAGGACGACAATGAAGGCAGCTTAACTAAATCATTTCAGTCAGATGCAACGTAGAACTTCGTACGTAAGTACATCAGTTCATGTTGCCATACCACATCAGCACAGAGACGCAACTCTCAATTCAAATCCCATAGTGGTAGAGATAGTAGAAGTATTAGTAGTAATGGAGAAGATTAGGATTTAAAGATATTATTCAAGAAGTATAATTCAGTGAGATAAGTTTAGAAAAACAAAAGTAGAGGTGTTGACGAATCCAGAAGATTAGGATTTGAGAGAACACAAAGAGTGGATGCACCTGCGCAATTGCAAACGATTTCGATCCATGTTGTTCAAGGACTCTAACCATCAGTGACTTTCGTCTCGCGGACCCCAACCAGGTAGCCTACATCTACCAACATGACTCAGTATACTTGTCAGTGACTTCATGGATTTCTGCCATGTTTTGGTCTGGCCGCCCCTAGCTTTCTTCCAACCAACTCCTACACCACAAAACAAAGCTCCTCGAGGCAGTTGGTGGTCGGGTATTCGCAACACATGTCCCAACCACCTCAACTGATGAAGTTTCAATACTTCATCTATTGATCCGCTATTCCTACCTAGTACTCACTTCCTAACGACAGCATCGCTTACTCGCGTGTCGTGAGACACGCGAGCAATGCTTCTAAGAAATCTGTGATCGAATACTAGTAACCTACGAATATCTCCTACTCTTACCGGCCATGTTTCAGATCCAAATAATAGAACGGAGCAAACTGCTGCGCAGTACACTCGTCCTTTACTCAGCAAACGAGTGTATTGCGCAGCAGTTCGCTCCGTTCTATTTGGATCCGATACATGGCCCGTAATAGTAAAAGATATTCATTTAGCTCAGAGAAATTAATAAATACCAAAGGCATTCATCCAAGCCAGAAATATTCTTTTTCATTTCTTATCTTTTCTCTAACTCTGCATTAATATCCAATATACAGGAGTAATTATTTTAAACAACTGTATTTTTCTGTAAAAGACATGAGTACTACTATTTAGAGCTTATCTATCCGTCAGTAGTAGTGTGTAATTGTTGGGGACGTTAGATCCCCAAAACTCACTTGGTAAAGGTCCTAATTTTTTAATTTATTTCTGAAATTTTGAATTTTTTATGTTTTCGCTCATAAGACGCCTAGTTGACTTTCAGCTAACATTTCCCACTCTGAAAATCCTTGACTGTCATTGCTTGTTGGATTATTTTAGTATGCTATTTGTGGCTATCACCAACGGCGTTTCTATCACTGTGTAATAAGCTTTGTTTGTGTGCTTAGCAACCTCAGTCTTCTTGGTGACTGTAGAATACATTCTCTACGCCTTATGAAAAATTCCTGCTTTAGTTAGCGGGGCCTGGGACAATCGGATTAGAATAGCCTATCGTGTCTCTCTATCATTTATTTGCACTTCGTTTACCGAGTAAGGTGAACTCGTAATCAGTCAATCAACAGCAACGTAGAACTTCATATATACGTACATCAATTCAAGTTGCCATACCACATTAGCACAGAGATGCAATTGTCAATTCAAATCCCATAATAGTAGAGGTAGTAAAAGTTTTAGCAGTCATCGGAGAGATTAGGGTTCGAAGATGTTATTCAAGAAGTAGAATCTAGTGAAATAAACTTAAAAGAAAAAGATAAAGATAATGAGGAACTCGTAATAGTTTCAAGCAAATCAATTAACAAGCATATCAGTAATATACGTCTGTCAATTATAGTTAGAAGATCTTGAGGTCTATATAAATGTTTTATTTACTTTCATACTCTAGATAAGTTTATTTTTAGAAGCCACCGTATATTTTTCATTCTTCCTGGAGAACTGTGCTCTTCTGTACCACTAGTGTTTTAGATAAAAAAGAAACTGGTTATGTTTATTTCCTTTGAATTATTTAATAAGGAAGATTAATAGTAAACGTAGTCGTAATCGATATGATAATTTTCGCTGGGTTATTTAAAATGATTTTAGTTTAATTCACATTATGTTAATAATTTGTACTGTCCAGATCGATACAATATTGAATTGTATTTTATTTGACAATATAAACATTGGTAAAGAGGGAGCACCTAAGTATTTAAACACTACACAAACGGTTGAATTTATGACTAGTCGGCTAGGATACTGCATGGTTGTCCAAACTTGAAGCAGTTGGTATTCTTAGGAGGTCGCTCCCGAAGCCTTTGACACAACTCAGTTCGTTAAAAAAAGCAAACCAATATCTATTTAGATTTATGTTAATGTCTAAATTATTAGTATTATTATTATTGTTATTATCATTGTTATTACAATTACTCTATTAATACGATACCAGTTAATGCAGTCGGTTTTTTTAGTAAGTTCGATTTGTTATTGTAAAAATCAGGATTTTTTATTTATTATATTATATTTACTGTCTCGGATCACGAAAACATATTCAAGTCATGTGTCATTGTTAATACACAAGTATAATTGTCATATGAAATTTGTGATCAGTAAATCATTGTTGATTTCAGTTTTTCCTTCTCGATTCTCTTCGTTATTAATTCAAACATGCGGTTTTCTACATTCAGAATTATCTCTTCACATAATTCAGTAAGTGATACAATGAGACAATCACATTCTTTATTCTTAACATTTAAGAGAATCAGAAAATTATGACATTTGATTCTGTATTTGTTATCATTCACAAAATTTTCAAAAACCAATCTATAGTTAAGAGTACTGTACGTCGGAGAAGTTTTTGAAATTCAGATTTCAGACAAAAGTTATGTCAAATTTGTTAGATCTCTTTTCTTTGCTGTGGTGCATACTTTTTTATCCTTTCCTTTGCTGATATATACTTCATTCAGTTTAATATTTATAGTGAATCATTTTAGTTCACATTTAGCTTGCATTACAATAACAAGACTAATGCATCTTACTGATCTGGTCTGTGGTGAAAAGTATTTTCAAATTCAAATAAATCACCATTTTAATATGGTAGGAGAAGGATTAAGTCTGACACTTAAGCGTTTATTCCACTAGGGAGTGGTGATTCGCTGATATTAGTCATATCCTTCCATCATTTATTTATCTAATTAGTTCTAATCTTATTCATTTTTGTAATCGAAATTTTTGTATATTCTGTTAGGAGAAAAAGCCTCTGTCTTCTGATGTAAGCTTAATCTGGATCTTATGCCAATAATTCTGTCTCATTAGCAGCAATCACTCGACTACACCGTATCATTGCTTTCCATTTATATCGATTGACATTCTGTTGATCCATTTTAGCGATTCAAAACTCACTTATTTGTCGAACCCTAATTTGTAACACAAGCCCCAATCATACAGGGAGTTTACATATTCTTAATCTTAATACTACGAGTTATCGCTTATTTGTCTCTTAGTTTATATGACTCTGAAAACTTGGAATTATTATCTAGGTTTTATATGCACACTACCAACTTATCATTTTAACATAAACAAATCGTTAGCCGGTTTACTACACAGCTATTTCATATCATATGGTTTGAGATATTCAGCTTAGCTTGATTAAGCCTGTTATGTCCTTCCACTAATCAATACGCAGACGAATTTTAAGTAACTAGTATGCAAAAAGGACGAGAAACTTGCTACTGTATGCTTGAAGTACGGCCCAATACTAACGTGCCCCAATCTAAGAGGACGAAAAAAGACCAATGATCATCAGTACAAGATTTGTTATCACATTTCAAACATTCATTTATATACACAAAAAAAACAAACCACATCGAACCAATGAGTGGAGTAAGCCAAAAGTGGCTGTGATCAGAAGAAATTGTTAGTAATAAATTTTCAATAAAATAGGGACAGTAAATCGCATGTTAGTTAGTAATTTATGGGTAACAAAAAAGTTGATGATAAAAGTAATATATACATACCTGACAGTTTAGTTAATTAATAATTATACAGTTAGATTATTGCCATCAAACATTTCTACCAGTTTGATTTGAACTTTTTGTTTTAGTGCTTTTATTAATTTTGACCTACATAATTTCGAACTAGTCTTCACATGTAGCTCAACGTCTAATACACTATTATTTATCTGTAATTTATTCTTTATTTCAGAAATAGTAAATAGGCATCATAGTAACCAACTTTATTTTTATGAACTTAACTTTCAGCTTGCAATTTATGCTTAATTGTTCATTCCAACGCAAATGTACCTAGATACTAACATGTTAAATTCTAAACATTTTCGTAACTGTCCCATTCTACTAACTATTCAATAAAAATGTTTGATTGCAGATGGAACAATATTCAAAATGTCATCTCATTGTAGTGATTTTTTTCTTTACCATTAAGTTAAGAGTAAAAAGAAAGTGATTGGTAAAATGTAATATTTTAAACGGATCGATAATAATAGTTCCTGTTGCATAAAATAAATTGTCATTTATTACAAAAGTGCAAACTTACGCTGAAAGTATATTCTTACCACTATTTTTTACGCGTTTGTTAAGCGCAAGACCACCGATTTATGTAAATAATTTCTGAATTATAATACAGTACAAGTTTAAACAAGGATTTTCTTTCTTCAAATCAAATGTCATAGATACTTGTTTTTTTGTTGTTGACTGAATTGTCTTAATTTATTAAATCTCATCTTCATGTTCAATCTTTCATTGGTATGCAAACATGTACATGTGACTCAATTTGTTTAGATGTATCGTAGCTGTGTATGCTGCTGGAACTTTCATTAGAATTGCATTCACTACCAAAACTTTACAGTTGAATGGGAATTTTTGAAAAATAGAGAAGCAAACAGTATATTCTAGCGTTTCATGTATTTTAGTTAAACTAGGTATTCATGTAGTTCAGTTTTGTACTATCATCTTCTATGTTGAAAATATTAAATACTGGCTCAGTGTTCCCAGGTCTTCTTCTTGAATGTTCGAAATTCAAAGAGGAATTCTAGGAACACTGAGCCAATATTTCATGTTTTCAATATAGAAGATGACACTACCAGACTGAACTACATGAATACGGAGTTTAAATACAAAACGTGAACTGCTAGAATGTACTGTTTGCTTCTTCTTGGATGTTTGAAATCCTGACGATAGGTGCTACCTTGATGTGGTGGTCGGGCCTGTCTATCTTTATGACGTAACCGAGTTATATTGACTGGAACATATGTTCCTGCAGGTTCTACCATACCAGGCAGGTCGATTGGAGAACTGTAAGACTAAAAGCAGCTACTCAAGGTCTGAGGGCGAAGTCTATGTCCCACGTCAACTTACCCCACGGATTGCCGTCTCGGGTGGTAAGGTCTTTTAAATAAGAGCGGAGCTATTAGTTGAAAAACTTCTCATATAAAGGCCGTGCGTCACCGGCTTCAAGTAGTTGTTTTTTATCTCCATGGCCAACCCCTCTCGTATACTGTTATCGCCTCGCGCCGCTAATGCTAACAATTCGAGGACACGAAATGTTATTCCAGGTCTCCTGAAACCACGATCTAAACTACTCGTTAGAGTTTTTAATGCTCGGAACTTGTGCGAAATAGGGCAACAGGCTTCTTTAACAGAGAATTTAGAATTTCGCACCATCGATGCATGAAGCGTCTCCAAAGTGCGTATGCAGGATCCGAGTGTAGTCATTTATTTGACCTCATTTTGTCGAGATTTATGTTATAGCGTTAGGCCCTGGAGCAGTACTAGCTCTCTCGGAGTGGATTCCAACAGACTGTCTCCTGTGTGCTTTCTGGCTAAATGGAACAGTAAGGACGGTGAAAGATAGGGAAAATCACCGTTGCTTCTTCGTTGTCTCTGCCTACGCTCCCACAAACTGCAACTCAGATGAGGTAAAGGATAAGTTTTATGGGAAGCCTTCCAACCTCCTCTTAAACGTTAGGCACTCGGATGTAGCAATAGTGACTGGTGATTTTAATGCTCAAGTAGGTAGACTGAGTAAAAAGGAAATACACCTGGGTGGATCTTATGGTGTTGCGGCCGATCGAACAGATAATGGCGACCGTCTACTGCAGCTGTGCTCAGATAACCACCTATTTGTAGCAAATACTGACTTTAAGCATAAGGATAGACATCTACTGACATGGTGACCCCCAAAATCAACTCAACGATGACCCAATATAAGGTGAGGGAGAGCGCCAGGTTCTGATAGGTCAACTTTTAGGATTTTAAGGATGGTCGTCCTGTTTGAGCAGTGAAACTGACTGAGATCTTAGGTAGAATCTGGTACCTGCCCGTAATTCCATCTGACTAATCTCGATCGCTGATTCTCTCAGCCTATCACAAAGGGCAAAAGTTCTATTATGGCAATCACAGAGGAATCAGTTCAACTAATATGGTGTCTAAAATTTTAGCTTCAGTAATACTTCAACACTTAATTGGAGCCCGTGCAGAGCAGACTCGAGGAAACCAGTCTGGTTTCAGACCTGGACGTGGCTGTATTATTCACAATTTGACAGATCCTAAAACATAAACACACGTTCAGGCATCCAACAATAGTGGTATTTCCTCACCTCAAGGCGTCATTTGACTCTGTTGGTTGTGAAGTGCAGTAGCGGCGTCTGTCGTTGAAAGGTATACCACAGAAGTACATCAACCTTTAACAGGCTCTCTACTCGAACGCTCGAGTGAGAGATAATGTCGTCTGTCATCAGAATTGATAACTTCAAGTGGTGTTCGTCCAGGCTGCTTTTAGGGACGACGCTTTCATCATCTGACTTTTCAGGATTTGAACGTTTACCGGGAGATGCACTTGTCGACTTAGAATATGTCTATGGCATAGGAACTCCTTAAGCAACATTGTAAGCATTTTTGGGATGCGATTCGCCCTTTCCAACTGCAAAATTTTAGGGATTAGCTTGCATCAGCACCTGAACTAGTGATAGGGAGTGAAGCATTTGAGCATGTTGACCGCTTCCTTATATTGGGAGTCTCATCAGTGCTGGTGGCTTGACGACTGACGAAATCTCAGCACGGATGCAGAATGCTCAACTAGCTCTTACCAGCATATAATGTAGTCGAGATATCCGTTTGCTAACCAAAGGACGAGTTTATTGCGTATCAGGTCGTTTCGTTCTGGTTACCAAGAATGGGCTCATTCGTATGCCACTAGTATTTGACTATAGGTGTCTTCAAAACATTGCTCGTACATCCTAGGACTATCGAGCAAGCAACGGGTAATGGGTAAGGATGGCAAATCAGTTTATGACCTGTTGAATGTCTATCAGTTGATATGGTTGGGATATGTATTACGAACGCCTAACCACCGACTGCCGCGACGAGCTGTTTTGTGGTGTAGGAGTAGGTTGGAAGAAAGCTAGGGGCGGCCAGATCAAAACATGGCAGAAATCCATGAAGTCACTGACAACTGGACTGAGTCATGTTGGTAGATGTAGGCTACCTGGTTGGGGTCTGCGAGACTAAAGTCACTGATGGTTAGAGACCTTGAATCGTTTGCAATGGTGCAGGTGCATCCACTCTTTGTGTTCTATGAAATTCTAACCTTCTGAATTCCTCATAATCTCTATCTTTCTCCTTCTAAATTTATCTTACTGAATTATACTTTTCAAATCAAAGCTTCACTCCCTAATCTTCTCCATTACTACTAATACTTCTACTATCTCTACCACTATGGGATTTGAATTGACAATTGCATCTCTGTTCTAATTTGGTTTGGCAACTGATGTACGAATTTACGAAGTTCTATGTTGTAGCTGACTGACCTGTGTTGTGAATAAGAATTCATCTTATATCCTAGAATTTTTCTCATATCCACATATTTGGTTACTATTGCATTAGTTGTATTTATCTTACTTGAACTGCAACTTCGAATTGATACATTTGATAAATCTTTCTTTATATAATTCGTAAACATTTAGATTGTGGATGCTACTTTCTCTCATGATTCTCGATGGGTAGCTGTTAGCAGTAATCATGGGACTACACATATTTTTCCTATTACTGCTTATGGGGGTCCGATTACTGTTCGTACACATACCCGACCTCACGTTGTGAATCGTACTTCAAGATATCATCGATCGTCCGGCTTAGAAGAATATCATCTAACTAGACCACAACCTGAAAGAAGTGCAACTGACCCAACTGTATTCAGTTACAACGCTCCTAGTAACTCGATTAATATCCCCTGTCACATTCCCCAGTCTAGTTCTACGAAACATCCTTATTCTATACGTAGTCAATCGTCTGGTTTCACCTCTAATTTATCTCGAGCTACTTCAAATTTTTGTCAAACCGCACCGATTGCAGGTTTCGCACCTCAGTGCCCACATTTAGGATTCACAGCTTTGAAGACTCCGCTCAAGGAAAGCCCTGACTGTTGTCTCAGTAAGTTCTGTGTACCTTCTTTTTCAGAACAAACACTGCATTTTTTCGTATAAAGAATGGTATACTAAATGTTAAGGTTTAAAATATGCAATTATCTATTCACTTTTATCTCCTCAGCTTCGTCAATACCTCCATTTCTTATGAGGTTGAGTGTAGAACACCTTAAATTTAATTTTGCTAAATTTGACATAATATTTGATTAGATTAGTAGCTTTTGGATGTTTGTATTTATAACTAATTCATTCCTGTAGTTCTTCTGACGATGGATAATATTAAATCGAAGAATGGAGGAGGGTTATTTAAATTAAAATAGTTAGCCACAGAGTTTTGAGACCGTTCAAATTACCTTGTTGGAATTTTTAAATAATTTGTATGTGTTTAAAATTATTTACTCATCTTTTTCTTTTATTCTTTGGTAGGATAGACATTTTGGTTAATAAATGAATTATGTGGTGTTTTACTCAGTTAATTTAGATCACCAATTCATTAGCTCAATTAGTTAACGTTACAAATGTAGTTAGTTGATTTGTTAATTCTAAAAGTCTCTACTGTTTATTAGTAACTGGTTGTTACTCACGCACGTAAACATGTCATTTTGATATGCTTGCATTACTACGAGTTTACCTTAGTCGGAAAACGAGAGCGAGGATCCGGTGACACGAGGTCCGAGTCCAAAAGAACGCAAGGATCCCGGTCTGAGGATCCGTGTCATAAAACGTTACAGATAATGCGTATTTATACATTTAGGTTGAATAGGAAACAGCATCGAAGTTTGTGACATTGACAGTTAAGACGACCAATAGGAAACAACATTGGTGACATTGACAGTTAAGACGACCAATAGGAAACAACATTGGAGTACATGACATAGATATGTAGGAGGACCATAAAATTGACTAACAGGAATCGACGAATAGAATTTACACTTACAAAATAATTCTTTGTAGGATATTTGGTGAATATCGTAACACTACTATTCGGTGGTGATAAGTCAGTATTCTTAGATTCAGTTTTACAGTGGATCAGTCACAATCTTCTGAACATCCCAATGATAAAATCTTGTGATGGTGCTATCAAATTTTTTTATCGGATCAACTGAATTCGCCTCTTAGGGAAGCCAGGTTAAAGTCTGTTTATTTTTCAGAGTAGTGACTACAATTACTACTTTTATAAACAGGTATCTGTCAAATCGATTTATTATCAAAAATTAATTTCCAGAATTCAAAAGAGTAGTCATTTATATTATCATATACATCAATAACATAAAATTATCAGTAGGATTTCAAAACCTTTTAAAAATTAGTATTGTTCATAAATCATTATGATCGCTTTATATTCTGCCATGCAAATCGACATGATAAATGACCAACTGAAGATAGATGAAATATATTGAATCAATTTTGAGATATACTACATTGAAATTAGTAAACATTTAACATTTACACATACATCCATAAATGTTTCTAGATAGTGAAACAACACAAATATCCAGTTGGTGGATTAATAAGGAATTTCTTGAATCCTGTCTTTCAATTCAGAATTAGATTTTGTGTATCATCAGTCTTTAAAACAAAAGCATGATGTATTCATTGAGAATCAATACTTGCCAAATAAAAATAACCAGTTAGTTGATGATAGTTACATCCAATGTCTAAATGATTTCTATGGAAATTTCACTTACACTCATTAATTTTTTCAGAATACACCCGACCGTAGCTGCTACCTTGACGTGGTGGTCGGGCTTGTTTATCGTGATGACCTAACTGAGCTATATTGGCTGGAACATATGTTCCCGTAGGTTCTACCATACCAGGCAGGCCGACTGGAGAACGATGAGACTAAAAGCAGCAACTGATAGTTTGAGGGCGAAGTTGTAGAGGGATGTGACATCAGCAAGGTGTTTCTCTCGGACAACCAATATCTGCTGTGATGGTGCCTTCTCATAAGGAAGGAAGCGGTTAGAAAAGGTTGACCCTATCCATGTCCCACGTCAACTTACCTCACGGATTTCCGTCTCGGGTGGTAAGGTCTTTTAAACAAGAGCAGAGCTAATAATTGAAAAACTTCTCATATAAAGGTTGTGCTTGACCGGCCTGAAGTAGTTGTACCTTGGGCTCTGCGATCACTCTCTCAGGTCTCTAAGACCAACGCTAATCTACCTTCCTTTTCAGGTTCCTCAAGAAACACCCTTCTACGATGTGGGCATAACTCATACCCATAACGATTCAGATTACCAAAGAATACATTATTTACCATTCTATATGAATGATCTCTGTATGAAATGCATCAAATTTTATCGCTACAAAATAAAGAGGATTATTAAAATGTGATTTTATTGAACTGTCTGCTTCTATCTGATTCCTTGTGATGTTACTCAAAAGTTCAGTGTGAAACTCAACAAAATTGAGTTAGAACTCCATTCATAATTGACTGCTTTCACAATCATCAACCTGAGTTGTGTTGAATTGTGTTCAGTAAACAGAGATGGTCACACTTAAAATTTCTTCTTCTTTTTCATTATGATTTATAAATTAAGAAGCTATTCCAAATTCCAAAGTTCAATTAAGTGTCATTGTGTATGTAAGTTTTGCGCGTATTCAATTTTAAAAACGGGTGGGTGGAGGTGGAATTATTCTTTCTTAAATAATACAGTTTGTAAAACTATTATTAGTAATACATTTATAATGTTACTTCGCCAATAAGTCTACCAAACTATATCACAGTTTGTATTCAGATAGTTTAAGAGTCATCATTAATTTATTCTTTTATTTCTAAGTGGTTTTATATTTTTAAGATTTGAAAAAAAAACACTTGAAAAACTAACAAAATAAGTGATCCACCTATATAGACAAGCAACGTATAGATTTGTCAACTTCTTATGTCTATTATCGTATTGTATTTTTCTTTGATTATCGATACAATTTACTCACACTTCTACTTGAATGATATCAACATCATCATTTTTTTGTTTCTTTGTATTTTATGGAGTTTTACTCATTATTTTTATTAACAATAAATGCATTTTGTTTAATATCATTTATTATTCTAGACTGGATTTTGTGCATATTCAGTAATTATTTCTCTTTAATACCATTCTCGATGCTATATGCCTCTTAAATGTACATAAATTTAATTTCTTTTTTCGTTGTCTAGATGAAGAAAATCCCGGTCCATTTTCTTTAGAAGAATCCAGTGGTCATCATGTTTCTGGTTCACGAAATTTTGTTTCTGACCAACAAGCTATGCTGTTTTTAAATAGTGAAGGATTATGTGCTTGTCCACCAAACGCCCTATATAACACTACTAATTCTCGATTACCTCCCTATCCAGAACCTTGTAGAGTTAAAGCTGAAGCAAGATTGAAGCCATCCATTGGGAACAGTGTGACTTCTATTGCTCGAAGCGCTGCAAGTAGTGCTTTTGAAGCGGTAACACCTGTGAAAAATGTAAACACAGGATTAGTCAATCGTCATACATCATCTGTGAAATCATGTTATTCTGAGCCTAATAATGTTTACTGCCCTGAATTATGCACATATACACAATTACCAGTTAGTAGTAGTAGTGGTACAGCATCTCGTTCTTCTTTCTATTCACGTAAGCATAATCGACGTCAGAGAAATGGACAATCACTTCAAAATTTAGATCAAGAAATATCCAGTCCAACAAGTAATAGTGTTAGAGCGGCACGTTTTGGACCTCCGGTGTGTTTCCTTCCTAATCAACCTCGTCTAAATAATCTATCTGCTGAGTTTCGTAGCGATCCATTATGGTAAGATACAATAACATTTTATACTTTAAAATGCTCATCGAAACTTGTCTGAGTAAATGGTCACTTCCACTATATATTG